GTTATCCAACTCAGTTCAACTTCAACAGGCCATCAACGATATAACAGCTTGGAGCATCAAATGGCAGTTGCCACTCTCTCCGAGTAAATGCTGTCATTGCTCATTTCTTCCATCTTCGAGATCAAAATTAGTTCCACATCAATATTATATAGATAAACATCTTCTCAGTTGTACAAATGACTTCAGAGATCTTGGTGTGATAGTGGACAGCAAATTCAACTTTAATGCGCATATCAACAACATCACTCACAAGGCTTCTTCCCGCGCTCGCTTAATCGTCAAATGTTTCACATCTAAGAATAAGGATCTACTTGTGAAGGCTTTTTGCAGTTATGTACGTCCTCTACTTGAATACTGCTCACCGCTATGGAATCCGCACTACAAATATCAAATAACCAAGATTGAAAATGTTCAGAGAAGATTTACCAAATTCATTCCGTCAATTCGTCATCTTCCATATTTGTCTAGATTGCAAGCGGTAGGACTACAAACACTTGAGCGGCGTAGATTGGTTCTTGATTTGTGCTTGCTGTACAAAATACTACACAACCTCATCAACACAGATCTAAATGGTTTTTTCATCCCTTCACTTTATCTGTCAACTCGCGGTCACCCATGTCGACTGCAAGATTTCAACGCTGGAGACAACGTAACAAAATATTTCTACTGTATCCGGATTATCCGAGTGTGGAATGCATTGCCGGCAGAAGTAGTGTCTTCAACTTCACTTGCTGTCTTCAAAAATCATTTACTCACTATTGATTTAAATAGATTTTTAATTATAATGTGATTTATTGTTAAATTACGTTTAATATTTACATATATGCCTAACTAACTCTGTTGGCTAAAACTGTCATATCATTGACCAATTATAATATCAGTAGTACATTTTTTAAGTTATGAAGTTATCTTCTATGTTTGACTATAAACTTTTTCATTATTCATCAAGATCATTGTGCATCGATCTCTGTTATTATCCTATGTTTTTACTTAATTCATAGACGTACGATTCATCTTTCGAACATTTTTTTTTCATTTTTCTTACCGGATAAGTGGTTTCTTTTTAGCCCTCTGGTTTTGTGAATAAATAAATAAATAATACTACTAGTACTACTACTACTACTATCACCACCACTACTACTACTACTACAACAACAACTACTACTACTACTACTACAAATAATAATAATAATAATAATGAATAATAATAATAATAATGATTAATAATAATAATAATAACATTGATTAATAATAATTATTATCATCATCGTCTTCGTCATCGTCGTATCAATCATCATTAATCATAATCAATTATTGTCTCGCTATCAGTAAATTCTATGTATGTATCATGTATCATATGTATCATGTATCATTATTTATTTTTTATCGTCATCATCATCATCGTCTTCTTCATCGTCTTCTTTTTCATCATTATCAACACTTTGTTCTTCTTCTTCTTCAGCATCATCATCGTCTTCTTCAGTAGCATCAACAACAAAATCTATAACAACAACAACAACATCAAAAGCAACATCATCAACAACAACATGAGCAACATCAACAACAACAAAATCAATAGCAACAACAACAGCAGCAACAACAACACATTAAATTATTATTACATCGCAAACAAATCAACAGCGACCTAGCTAAGGTTACGAACAAATAGCTATTTACATTAGAAATGCTTAACGCAGAAATACACGCAAAACATAAATAACATTAACAAAAAAAA